TCTAGCTTTGTCTGTCTCCAACTGAACAATGGCTCTGCCACCCGCACCCCACCCTCATCCATCCACTTGCCCACCCCTCTGCACTTCTCTTTTGTTGTCTGAGAAGCAACTTGGAAGAGTTAGTTGCTTATGGATTCAAGATTAATGACTCCCCAGTTCTTCCACTACCACCTCGCCATCTTCCTTTTTATTCTTTACAGTATTGGCACCTTAATGTGCAAATGTCCTCACAGTGTAAATTAGATTTGTACTATAGGCATAGCCCCTGACAACAACAGATAGGAATCAATTACTGTGATGCAAAAGCTAGATTTGAAAAAGTAATTCTAAATCAAACTATGGAGAAATATATACTGAGGGCCACAGCAACAAGCCCTATAATGCCTAGTGCTAGGATTGTGCATAGAACCATTTTCTTTCTTTCATGCGTTATTTTGTTACTTTCGTTACTTTCAGGAGCAAGTAACGGGAAGACCTCTCCTGGTCCGAAAATCAGCTAGACACAAAAGCAAGTGTGAGCTGATTCCGGCTCCTTGCCTGCTTTTCGTGCTCCATGTCTCCTTGCCATGGAAAGAGTGTGTGTGTGGTGTGCAGGCCCAGAAAGTGCCTGTAGCCGAGCACCGCCTTTGGAGTAAGAAACAGAGAACTTGCCTCTTTACCTTGGAAAGTACATGTGATGTGCATGCAGGCTTGGAAAGTGTGCATGCCTGCCTGCAGCTGAGCTCCTCCTCTAGAGTAAGAACAGCTAAGAAGCATCCTTAAAGCACATACCTGAGCACCTCTCCTCTGAAACAGCTTAGATGCCTAAAATGACAGAAAGAGGAGCCTGGGAAGCCTCCTCTCCATAATGGGCTGAAAGAACCGTTTCCTGTCATTTCATCCATTCTTTCATTACTTTCATTACCTTTGGGAGCAAGTAACGGGAAGGCCCCTCCTGGTATGAAAATCAGCTTGACACAAAATTAATTAGGAACCGTATTCTGCTCCTCGACTACTTTTTGTGTCCATGTCTCTTTCCCTTGGAAAGTGTGTGTGTGTGGTGAGCAGGCCCAGAAAGCATGTGTGCCTGCCTGCAGCCAAGTGCCTCCTCTGAAGAAACAGAGAACCTGCCTCCTTGCTTTTGAAAGTGCGCATGGTGTTCATGCAGGCCCAGAAAGCACAGATGCCTCCCTGCAGCGGAGAATCTCCTCTAGAGTAAGAAACAGGTAAGAAGCCTCATTAAAGTGCACATCTAAGCAACTCTCCTCTGAAACAGCTTAAATGCCTAAAATGACTGGAAGGGGAGCCTGGGAAGCCCCCCCCCCCCACCATAATGGGCTGATAGAAAATGGATCTTTCAGCACCCCAGAGCAAAAACAGGTATCTGCCATCCCAATTTCAGGAGGCTCCCAAAAACGGATTGGGGCCTGCACCAAAAACTGGGACCCGAAAGGTGTCAAGGCTTACCCCAAATGCACAACCCTACCTGGTGCCATTCCATTGAATAGGATCATTTTCCCCACATAGCATGTATGCATGCAACACACCCACACACACTTCATTTTTAAATTATTTTTTATTCAAAAGTAAAGACAAAATAATAAAAGACAATACAAAAAAGAGACATTCATGAAATATATTACTAAAACTAAGCATAAAATTAAAAATCTAAGATGAACACACTAACCTATACTAACATGCACATACTAAACACACAACTATAGAAAATGTTCTATGAACCTCAAACACATTGTCTGTTGGCTTTTACCCCTTAATAGCCTACTCTCTTTAGGTAATCTTACATAACTGCACTTCTACTTTTAAAACTATCTTGTAATTCATAAATCCAACTGAAAAAAAGCAAGGGAGCGGAGGGATGATTTATTGTTGCCACCAATTTGAAAGGAACCAGTATTCAGGAGATTTTACCCCAGTTCCCAATTTTAAAAAGAACTGGCCGATTTGCAATGGAGGTTGCCGATTAGGAACCAAATTTACCATCAAGTTGGAAGGGAGGCTGTTCAATTGCACCTCCTCCTTTATTAAGAAAGTAATAACTTAGTAGTAATTACACTGTATATACTGTAGCGTGACTGGAGAGAAGAATGTAGATTTATTTGGTTACTTTTCCCTGCGTTTCTGCCACCACGTGAGGTAAGTTGTAATATTGTGAGAAATGGCACTTTGGACACAGAATAGACGGAGCTGAGGCAATCTTCAAATAAAAGTTAACAATTTTATTAAGTACACTGCATGTGGTTGCAAGACGTAACTTTTCCTTGTTGCACTTGGAATAATACTTGTAACTTTAACAGTTCATTCTTTCAAGTAACACAGTATCTTTCTGACGTAGAGCACTTGTATCAGACAAAGTTTCAATACAGGGATGTTTCCCTTATTTGATCCTCCCTAGATCAAATACTAAGTAAACTATTCTTTAGCCTCTCCTTAGACTAAAAGAATACCAGCTAGGTTTCACCATTCGGCTGCACTAGCCTGAGAAACTTCCAATAGCCAAACCCAGCTTTTCAAAGCCTCAAAGCTTTGCTTCACAAATTACTCCGCCACCTTTCCTTTCCTTCTCTCCCAACTCCTAACTCCTGACTCCTCTGAACCTAAACCCGGACTGCTCACTCCTCTAAACCTAAACCCTAACTGATTTTTAACTGTCGTTTTTTCAAACTCTCCCCTCTAAGCTCCTCCCACTTCCCTCTCTCCTGCATCGGTCTCCATGGCAACGCACATGGACTCCTCTGACTTAGGCCGCTCCAGCATTACTGCAGCCAATCTAAACACAAATACAGTTAAAATCATACAATTTATAATCAACTCCTGTACACCAACAATTGACAGTTGCCCCATCATTGTTGTACACAAGTCCCATATTTTCTTGATGTTCATCAAGGATTTCTCCTTGATCAGCATAATCACACTTCAGAAAACACAATCCTAAAATACCCGAGAATATTTTTAAAAGGGTTATGGCTAGCATGATCTTCCTAGTTTTGGGGAGGTGGGGGAGGATAAGTTTCATGTGAGGTAGGGAATTTAACAGAGTTGGAGACATATCCGATTGGTAGGCTATCAAAGATAGTAGGATATAATATTATATCTACAGAACTGGAAATACAAGCACTTCAATGTAAATCAATAGAAAACCCCAGATGATTTCCTCCTGCTTTTTCCTCTCTACCACCATGGCCATAATTGCTAACTGTGTAGCCAATTATTGCGACCCTCTGGAACTAAGATATCTCCTTCTATTTTTGTCATTCTATTCGCAACTGTCATATTTTAAGATGTTGCATCCCCCATTGGACTGGAGAAGTAGAACTTCCTATTGCATGTTTCTGTCTGAAGTTCTGGGATAAGACTCCGGCTGTAAAGGTTTGGAGAAAATCAATCTGATCAATGTCTTTTTCCCATACATGCCCTAAGGCAACTTTATTTGCACCAATTGTGTTTCCCTAGCACTGAAGTCCCTCTGTCTGTGCTGTAAGTATGTAAGACATGGAGGTAGAGACACATTCCATTCTGTATTGTGCTGTATAGTGTGAATTTTGCTCTCTCTAGCAAGAGTTTACTGATTATATGGGTGTGGTGTGATGGGTGCCATCGATCTGAATTTTGTGTTATCTTAGAGGGCATGAGAAGGAGACAAGAAGTGGGGACTTCTTTTTTTCATTCCCTTGACATCAATTGGTTATTTTGACTGAAATACACTCAAAATCATTCTGAAACATCAAGGCAAATTCAAGAGTGAAGGGAGAATAAGGTTTAGGATAAGTCTGTTTATCTCCATCATTCCAATGTTATGCTGCCATTCCCCGCCATGTTTTGACTTTACTGCTTCTGCCCGGTTTTGGCTTCTCTGGATTTGTGTTGGTCAGTGTGGATACGTGTCAGGGCACTTCCACACATGATAGAAATGCTTGCCAAAGTTTTAAAAACCCATTTGTGTGGTCATTTCTGCCCGCCCCCAAACTCAGACTTTCCTGGGTTGGATGGGTTTCTAGATGCCATCCCAGTAACTACCAGGATGGTATCTAGCCACCCCAAAACCCCTCAAAACAAGCCTTAAGATTAAAAAACCTTACTGGGCTGCCCTTAAGATGGTACTTCATCGCTCCTGGTGCATAGAAATGACATGCCAGGAGACCCGGGGAAAGGGGTTGCATGGAGGAAAGTCACTTCTCAACCCCGTTTTCTGCCACCTCATTTCTATGCATGAGGTGGAATGAAGGACCACCTTAATGGTAACCCAGTTAGTTTTAAAAAATGTTTTAGGGCTTATTTGGGGGTTTTGGGGGAGGAGATGGGTGCCTGAAAAACCAAGACGCCTGTGTGGATTAGATCCAGGGGTCATGTGATGCAGTCCCTGGCCCCAATCCACACAGGGGCCACACCTGGTAAGGCCTAGATTTATCAGGTATCTAATTAATTCAGAACCAATCAGGGAAACACTGTTTGTTACAAATTAATTTGGTTTTACCGGAGGTGTCATTGGACGCCTCAGGTAAAATCGAGACATGTCTTGGGTTAAAGACGTGTCTGGATGGGTTTTCAGTTTACTGGGATTTCTGTTGATGGATCCCACTGACCACATAATTTACAGAATGCAAAAACCTCTTAGTGTGCATATCTAGATTGTAAGGTTGCACTTTAATAAGGAACAGCAAGTGGTAATTGCTGTAAATTGAGAGAGACATAATAATGCCTAAAAGGGAAGAGAAGTACTTAGTGGGGGTGGAGCAGACTACAGACCACCTGCTGCAATGCAACCTGAGCCCTGCTACATGCACAATGGAGGACCTCCTTGCAGCAACACCAGAGGCACTCCAAGTGGCCAGCTACTGGTCAAAGGACATTTAATCAACTACCAAGCTTGCAAATTCTGTGCTTTGTCTGTTTGTTTGTTTTTGTTAAAAATGTAATACAAATGTCTGGTTGCTGATGACACGATACATAAATAAAATAAGTGGGAGTGGATGAAATCCTTCTCCCCACATTAAGAAGGGGGACTTCTTTCTACCTGTGGGCTAAATTGGACCACTTGACTTTGCACTGTCACAATGGGAAAAGTGTAAAGTCTATGAATGGGACAGAACACATCAAGTCAGGAGTAAACCTCATCTAATTCAGTTATGGTTTCCCCGCATATATTTACATAGTTTCAGGATTAACTTCCCTGCATTGTTTTTTTTCTTGTTATGTATCTTCAAGTTCACTTCTGTGAAATTATTACAGGGTTTTCGTAGAAAGAGTTATTCAGAGGGGGCCACCACAGACGTCTTCTTAGGATGAGAGTGTGTGATTTTCTTGGCCATGACTGGGGAGGAGCCTGAGCACAGCAATGGCTGGAATCCTCACAAAGTAGAGTCCAGTAGAGCTCTGGAAAGCAAGGAAGAGAGTGGTGTAGAAAGAGAGAAAACCTGCAGAAACCCCTCAAAAATAACAGACATCTTCAGAAAAAAATACAAGATCAAAACATTGTACAACAATTTCTATTCTCTTCCTGGCTTCATTTGTGTATGCTGGTTCAGGGCACCACAGGTAAGGAGAATCAGAGTAGAGTGCTCAGGAAAGAAATATGTGTCAGCTTAGAAGACTGGATGGAGAAGAGTGGGGTTCCCATTTTGGCTCGTAGGCTTGAGATGCCATGTCCCATCCTGGCTAGACTCCAAGACTCCTTCAGAGAGAAACACTGAGCAAGTGATACTCACTCTTCAGTGATAAAGACCCCGTGCTGCTCACTCAAAAACAATGCATCTTTATATATCATACCCCATGAGAATGAAATGTCAAGACTCCAACAGAATGCAACAAGCCATTTCCAGAGGACGGATTGTCCTAAGAGAGTTGCGGTACAAACAGTAAAGAGCATTGCAGCATAAACCTTTGTACACGAGTGTACCTGCTTTCTGTTTCACCTGGCAAAGTGGGCACCACTGGTCCATAAAGGTTTAGGACACAATACATTTTGGAGTGTTTAAGGTATGAAAACAATAAACAAGTAAGTAGAATAAATGAGCAGACTGAGAGACACTGACTGGGAAGTGGAGAGACTTAGATTCTGTCTAGAGATTTGTTTAAAGCACTTCGTTTGTATGTGTTTGTGCATCTTTCCAATGTACTAAACCCTCCACATTTATTTCAAAGAATAGGACAACTTCTGATACTTGAAAGGATGGGGATCCTTTCAAGTCCCCCCATTATCTTCCTTTCTATTTCAAGGGGATGGGGAATTCACGCAAGGGCTCCCTAACTCCCAGGGCCCTGAGTCAGAGGTACATTAGGAGAAATCGTGCTCTGTTATACTACAGGATAGAACATTACTTAGTGACAGTTATAGCCACAATGTGTTTGAAATGACTTTGTAGTTGTTATGCCCAAAATATTTTAAAATGTTACTTTTGGTTTTCCAATTCTGAAAAAAACACCAATAATAGTTTTGTAGTATAGTATATACTGTCCACCTGCCTACAACAGCAGAACCTAGACACCAGCAGGAGCCACAGTGCAATCCAGCCATACTCCACACTCTTTATGATTTATTGTGACAATAAAGCTAAAAAATAGACTTGAGCCTGGGTCTGCTTTTAGTCATTCCCTTCGGCCAATCCAGCTGCTTTGGAGAGGATCCAGCTGTCATGGATTCTCAGTTGAAAAGTGACCACATGGCAGCAAATCATGGCTCCTCCTCCCTTATTTGGCATCACAGATGGATCTTTTTGATTTACCTCTATTTTTCCCAATTCTTTTTATTTAGTGGGACTGACTGGGAGTTGGGGACCTGAGGGACAGTGGGTAAGGTGCTCACCTGTGTTTGGGGGCTTGGAGAATCACCCTTTAAGCTTCTTTTTCTCCTTCAGAAAATACTTCTAAAAGATAATAATAATGATTAATAACAGTAATCTCAGAAAAGAAAAAAGAAAAGCATACCCCTCGTCTAGAGTAGAAAGTAGAAACAGCTTTAAGGAAGCAAAACCACAAGGAGAAAGAGGTTGCAGGGAAGAGGGGATTTTTAAGGTAATCTAGGAAAGATAGCTCTACTGAGCTGCAGGTTATCTCTCTTCCTTCCTTGGGCCTCCTTAAAATGCCTTGGAAAGCTGTGTGGTGTGATGCTGGTACTGGGAGAGCAAGTGCACATGCCTGACTCTCCTCTAGAGTAGAAACAGCTTTAAGAAGAATTAAAGCCGGTTTCCTCCTGTACATACAGAAGGGAAAGAATTCAGGAAGAGTAGTATCTTAACTGATGCTTTCTAAAATACAGATCTTAATGAAGGAAATAAAAGGGGAGCCTGTGGGAAGATAGGATGGGTTAGATAGGATGCTTTCTTAACCCCATTGCTGACACCCAGGCTCTCTTGAAGGGAAAAAAAAGAAAGTCTCCTAGGAGAAAAGGAAGCCTCATAAGTTCTCCATTGCCACCAATGAACCCAAAAGAGCCACTTTTTTCAGATGTGGAACAAAAATGCCCATTAGACAGCATGCCCGTTTTTTGGGAAGCGTGTGAAAATGGATATGGGGGGCTTCTGGTATTTGGCAAGCAGAAATGGATAGCGATTCACGCAAAATACATAAAAAGTGAACACTTACCATTTACTACAAAAGGAGTTAAGCTGTCAGTTAGGTTACACTCATAATGCAGTGTTGCTACACCACCATTCTTGGGAAAATGAATTAATTATGGCTAATTCATTGCAAATTATTAATAACTAGAAGTATTTGAAACTAGTTATAAATAAGCACCCGGTGGTGCAGTGGGTTAAAGCACTGAGATGCTGAACTTGCAGACTGAAAGGTTACAGGTTCGAATCTGGGGAACGGCATGAGCTCCTGCTGTTAGCCCCAGTGTCATGATGCCAGGGCTCTGCTGTATTCAGGTAGAGATGAACCGAATGAACTCCCAGTTTGTGCTAAACAATTTAATTAAACAGCACTTACTTTCTGGCTGTTTTAATAGTCCAAAATATAAAACATAAAATAGCACTCAGCTACAGAATATAAAACAAAAACTGACAGCAAACACTGTTGCAGGTTCAAGATAACACCGTAGTCAAAAGGTCCAGTCCAGTGGTCAAACACCAAGAGATCAAGAGTCTGTACCTTAGTCAGAAGCCAGTCCAGAGATTCAAGGTTCCAGGGTTCTAAGAGTTCAGGAGACAGGTCAAGATACTGAAAATTCACAAACCTGGAGGAAAACCAGCAGCATCTACCACCAAAATAAAACAAATACTTTTCTCCCAAGGCTAGCTCATTATATAAAGAAACACTCAGCTACAACCTATCTCTTACATACCTCCACTCTTAATTGCTTTCACCCATGAACTCTTACTTACAGATTACTCAACCCTTTAGAATTAAGACTTACATTAACCCTTCCGTCACCAACTGCTAGGCCTACCACCTACCAACCACAGAACATGATACATGATACCTAGCTTCTGCCAACCTAGCAGTTCGAAAACATACAAATCTGAGTAGCTCAATAGGCACTGCTCCAGCGGGAAGGTAATGGCTCTCCATGCAGTCATGCCAGCCACATGACCTTGGAGGTATCTCCGGACAATGCCGGCTCTTTGGCTTAGACATGGAGATGAGCACCAACCCCCAGAGTCGGACATGATTGGACTTAATGTCAAGGGAAAACCTTTACCTTTACCGTATAAATAAGTTCAGGCTACTGTTTTAATTAGTTGTATATCTTATCATTTTTAAAAGAAGCAAACAATATATTTCTATATTAATTTCACATCTTTTTCCTTTATAATTCTATTGGTTTTATCTTATTTCTCATACCGATGATCACAGTGTTTTTTGGGGGTTTTTTTATTAAAAGGTCTTATTTTAGTTCGAGTCAAAGATGCCAATAGCCAATTGTGCGGAGTTTTTTAAAAAAACACTGTTCAAAATGATGTTTTAACTTCCAGGAAACAGTAGACAAACTGACTAATGTTTCAGAGTGCTGGAAAAAATAGAACATATGCAATCTAACTTTTGCTTTCAGCAGATTCTAACACAACCTATAACATAAACAAACAAAAAAGCACTTTATTTCAGGTTCCATTACTAATGCCCCCAATTTGTATTTTCACAATCTATTTAACTTTCAGTGAGACATTATTTATTTATTTAGCAATTTTGTATACCGGTCTTCTCCCCTCTATCGGGGGACTTGGGCCGGTTTCCAACAATAAAATCACAAAACAATCATTAAAAACATCATATAACATATTCAATTAAAACGTTATAACAGCAAAATGCAATCACATAATAACAATGGTCAGTCGTCATAGTGAATTCGTTGTCCATCATTCATCGTCATCTATCCGATCACAGAAATATTGATTCACTCGTCGAAAGCCAAACCCCATAGCCAGGTTTTCACCCGTTTTCTGAACGACAGAATGGAGGGGGCAGTTCTGATCTCCAGTGGGAGAGAGTTCCAGAGTCGAGGGGCCACCACCGAGAAGGCCCTGTCCATCGTCCCCACCAGACGCGCCTGAGAGGCCGGTGGGACCGAGAGCAGGGCCCCTCCAGACGATCTTAACAACCTAGATGGTTCATAGGGGAGAATACGTTCGGACAGGTAAACTGGGCCGGAGTCGTTTAGGGCTTTATAGGTTAACACCAGCACTTTGAATTGTGCTCGGAAGCTAATTGGCAGCCAGTGGAGCTGGCGCAACAGAGGAGTAGTATGCTCCCTGTACCCTGCTCATGTTAGCATTCTGGCTGCCGCACGTTGGACTAGTTGGAGCTTCCGGGCAGTCTTCATAGGCAACCCCACGTAGACAGCGTTGCAGTAATCTAAACAGGATGTAACCAAAGTGTGGACCACCGTGGCCAAGTCAGACTTCCCAAGGTACGGGCGCAGCTGGCGCACAAGTTTTAATTGTGCAAAAGCTCCCCTGACCACCGCTGAAACCTGGGACTCCAGGCTCAGCGATGAGTCCAGGATCACTCCCAAACTGCGAACCTGCACCTTCAGGGGGAGTGTAACCCCCATTACAAAGGATGTGAGGGGTTTTTTTATGTCTTTCGATATTCACTGAAAATTACTGTGGTCCTGCCAATGCAGAGGACTTAGTATTTTAAGGTGTTATATTGAATATAAGTGGATGGAACTACAGGACAGCACTACTGGCCTCTCATCTCCTTTTCTGCACTAACTGCTGCCTCTTCCTTCTGCTTTTACTTCCAAGCTTGTCAGTTAGCAGCTTGGGGAGGCAAAGCGGATAGACAAAAGGACTAGTAGGAACAGTAGGGGGTGGGTGGGATCAGATGATGTTGTATTTTAGTGTATTTACAATGCTCTTTTAATGTTAAGCTTTTCTTTTATACTTTTACTAGCCGTCCCCTGCCACGCGTTGCTGTGGCCCAGTCTGGTGATCTGGAAAATAAAGTAATATATGTAATTCCTTTATGCTTGTGGGTAAACAGTATTCCTTGTTGTTTCTATGTGGAGTTTGTCTGGTTTGCCTACTCTGGAACATGTGACATATAATTGTCCTTCTTGAGGAGTCCCTTTCAAATTTATGATATTATATCTCTGTGTGTGGGAATCATATCTATCTATCTATCTATCTATCTATCTATCTATCTATCTATCTATCTACCCATCTACCTATCTATCTATAACTATGGCTGGATGGCTCTTTGTCAGGAGGACTTTGATTACGTTTTCTTGCCCTGATGAAGGGAGTTGGACTGGATGGCCTTAAGTATTTTCTGTTGGTCATGGGGGTTCTGTGTGGGAAGTTTGCCCTGATTCTGTTGTTCATGGGGTTCAGAATGCTCTTTGATTGTAGGTGAACTGTGAATCCCAGTGACTACAACTCCCAAATGTCAAGGTCTATTTCCCCCAAACTCCATCTGTGTTCATATTTGGGCGTATTGAGTGCTTGTGCCAAGTTTGGTCCAGATCCATCATTGTTGAGTCCACAGTGCTCTCTGGATGTAGGTGAACTACAACTCCCAAACTCAAGGTCAATGCCCACCAAACCCTTCCAGTATTTTCTGTTGGTCATGGGAGTTCTGTGTGCCAAGTTTGGTTCAATTCCATTGTTGTTGGAGTTCAGAATGCTCTTTGATTGTAGGTGAACTATAAATCCCAGCAACTACAACTCCCAAATGACAAAATCATAATTTTGGAGTGATGGTCACTCCTTGTGTTGTGAGACGTTTTGTTGCCAAATTTGGTGTGATTTCGTTCATTGGTTCTTTTGTTTTTAAGGAACTCATTATGCATATATATATATATATATATATATATATATATATATATATATATAGATTTCTGTGTACAAATTGACTCTCCATACTGTATTATCCAAGGAGTGTTAAATGAATAGAATGGACTAAATTGTATCCTCTATTTTCACTAGTGAATCCTCAAGGTTTTTAGAAGAATCAGAAGATACTTACAACTCTTTCTAAGGCCAAACATCAGTTGAATCTGCAGAAACTAAAAACTGCATCAGGAAAAAAACAAAAACAAACAAACAAACAAACAAATAACCAAAAACAAACAAAAACAAAACAAAAAAGAACACATTTATTTAATTTAGCCCAATAGTTGATAATAGTTGGGCAAGCAACTTTACAGAGTTGCCCTTATAGCATCCCCCCCCTCCCCCGAGTTCTCCTTGAAGGAAAACCAGCTTAAATCTTAAGTCCTGGGATTTTAAAGTTTATAGCAGACATATGAGAGCTGGGAAAACATGCACATCAGCACAGTTACGGCCACGGGATGGGGAAGCACACATGAGAGCTTCCACATCAAGCGTGATGTGGGAGGTAAATAACCCAAAAGTCTCTTTTGCCATATTTCCCTGCTGGAAAGGATGGAGTGGCACCTGTGAAAGGCGACAGATTCACCCTGATTCCCAGACATGATTTTTTGTCACCAAGCAGAGTGACAAAGAGACTTCGAAGCAAATGCAAGCACTTGAAAAAAGCAATAAATAAGAAGCAAGTCTTGTGTTCCTTTCCAAAATTACAATGTCAGACAGTGCCAAGTAAGGGATGAAGGGAAACTGACAGTGCCAATGCTGAGGAATTACCATAAAAATAAATAAATCTACAGCCTCTGACAGCAAGCAGAGTATTGTGTTATATTTTGTCTTTCTCAATGTCTAAAATATGAGAGGCTTTTCTCTTCTTTCCCTCATGAGTAGAGCATTAGACAAGTCTCACATTCATGTATATCATGCACTACTTTTAAGTACAATAAGAAGTGTTTCTTTAATGCATACATGACTTGACTGTATGAGCACAGAAAGACACATCATTTCCAGATGTCATAATCTTTTAGTTTTTCTCCAAAGCTAAAGGATTATAATTGTGTTGCATCCATTTCTGTCCCTTCTTTCCACCAATGACATTGACATGGTGCAGATGAACCCTTTTTTCTACCCCACTTTATCCTCATAGTAACTCTGTAGGTCAGGTAGAGAGAGTGTACATGACTGGGCTAAGGTTATGCAGTGAATTTTATGGGCCAGCAGGGAGCTGAATCTTCCAAGTTCCACTGCAATACACAAAGAACCTCATCACACTAGAGCATGGATCCGCTTTAAATCCAGTTTCTGCCTCCTGCAGAATTCTGGGGTTTGTAGTTTAGGGAGGGGGCTTTAAATTGTTCAGCCAGACAGTCTTGGACCTCACTAACCCATAAACCCTAGAATTCTGCAGGAAGCAGAAACTGGATTTAAAGTGGATCCATGGTTTAGTGTGATGAGGCTGTTAAACTGCTTGACTAGGGATGGAACATATTCAAAAATATCTACCCCCTCCCAAAAAAGAACAAATATCCTAGGCCCCCCAGTGGTGTAGCGGGTTAAACCACTGAGCTGCTGTACTTGCTGATCAAAAGGTTGGTGATTCGAATCTGAGGAGCAGGGTGAGCTCCCACTGTTAGGCCCAGCTTCTGGCAACCTAGCAGATCGAAAACATGCAAATGTGAGTAAATCAATAGGTACCACTTCTGTGGGAAGGTAACAGTACTCCATGCAGTCATGCTGGCCACATGCCCATGGAGATGTTTACAGACAACCCTGGCTCTTCAGCATAGAAATGGAGATGAGCACAACCCCCCAGAGTTGGACACGACTAAACTTACTGTCAGGGGAAACCTTTACCTTTTTTACTTTATGTTTCTTGAGTATTGCGAAACCCTACCAAGAATTATCTTTATAGTTTGAGACACGCTGTGCAAAATCTGCACATTGTAATTTTACTCAGGCACCAAAAAGTGTGATTTATGTGCAGGATATATTCTAGTCTACAACATTTTCTGTGCACGAAAATGTTCTGCAGAAAATAATATTGTATTTCTATGCCACTTTTGTAAAGAATAAACCCAAAACCGTTCAGTTTTCAAAGACTTTCTTGCAATTTTTCCAGTGCAAAAAAAAATAAAAATCACATCACTTGATTCAGACACCACTTTGCTCTACATACAAAGTACTGTCATGTAACTTATTTAGAAATGACATACATTAAAGAAGGAATGTCCATTGGTCATGGTTCTGTGAGGGAAGATTGTCCTGTTTAAAAACTTGACAAGTATAGATAATATTTATCTTTGAGGCACTAACTCTTCATTAATAGAGTAGCATGAATTAGACTATCTTTGAATCAATTTAGAGGCAAAAAGATTTTTTCTTCTGAAGCATTATTTGACTCCATTGCACAAATCTGATGTTTAACCCTAGACTAAAGTAGTAGCTTCCAGCTAAGGAAAGCTTTGTGATCTAGAAATGGAAAAGAAAGTGATAAAGAATCACATAGCTTAGTAAAACAATTATCACAAAAATCAACAATAGAAATTGATTCTCCATGGTACCTCCTGCCTTAGCCAAATCATGTAGACAACAGTATCTTAGGACTTGCAGTTAGGCATTGAATATGAATCCATTGGGGTTTTTTTGTATTCCATAATGGTAATAATAATGAAATGATTTAAATTTAATGCAGACTAGTAAGTAAGTAAGTAAAACTTTATTTCAGTCCCACCCTATCTCCCCAAGGGGACTCCGGGTGGCTCATAACATAAAACATAAAAGGCAAACATTCAATACCATTAAAAATACAACAATAAATTAAGCAAGTTGAAATAGGCAGTAGAACACATTCAGCAATCATGCAAATCAGATGAGAAGCAATAATAACAAGTCAAAACAATATCAATCAAGCCAGGGTTAAAAGCCATGTCCATATTACATTCCTTATTTCATAAGGCCAGGTCTTTAAACATCCGTATCCCCATATGCCTGGGTACACAGGAAGGTTTTTATTTGCTCCCTAAAGAATCAGATGGGGCCATTCTGATCTCCTTCAGGAGGGAGTTCCAGAGTGGAGGCCAATAGCAGAGAAGGCCCACTCTCTTGTCCCCACCAACTGAGTTTGAGACAGGGGTGGGACTGTGAGGAGGGCCTCCCCTGATGAGCACAGTGTCCAGGCAGGTTCATATGAGGAGATGCGGTTGGCTAGGAAGTCTGGACCCAAACAATTTAGGGCTTTAAAGGTAACGATCAGCACTTTTGATGTCACCTGGTAGCAGGCCCATAGCCAGGATTTCATTCGGGGGGGGGGTGGGGGGGCTGAGTTTGTTTCGGGGGGGGTGAGTCTGAGTGAAAGAGGGTCTACCCTAGCAAACCTTTTGTATCGTTACCCCAATACCCCCATGCATATGGGATATATTGAGTATGGTGATCAGATCATGATATGAATAAACATAACAGTTTAAATAATGCACCAGTAAGGCCTTTTCGCGAACCACCATGAGAATTTCGGGGGGGGGGGCGGAAGCCCCTCAAGCCCCCCCCCCCCCGGCTACATGCCTGCCTTGTAGCAGACAGCCAGTGGAGCTGTTATAGTATGGGAGTTTTTCTCTACCTGTACGGTGCACACATAGCACACTGTAGACACTTAGCCCTGCCGAAGGTCAGTGAAGAATCTAGAACAGGGGCTGCTGGAAAGTGCCCCAAGGGCATGACTGAGCACTAGGGGACTAGTTGGCCCTCTGGAAGAAGTGATTGATGACTTCTGCTCCTACCTGTCATTTTCCCCTTTTTTCCATACTTTACCCCTCTGGTGCACTGATGCACAGTGGTTCTCAACTTGTGGGTCCCCTGATGTTTTGGCCTTCAACTCCCAGAAATCCTAACAGCTGCTAAACTGGCTGGGATTTCTGGGAGTTGTAGGCCAAAACACCTGGGGACCCACAGGTTGAGAACCTCTTTGCTAGAGGGACCTTTTGAAAGAAAATATTAGGAGAAGTAGCAGACCAACAATCAAATGCATTTCCATCCTATCCATCCTACCATTATGGAAGCAACAGCTCTACACCCTCTTTTGCTCTTTGTGAAGATCAGTCTGAAGTACCAGATTTGGGCCCTAATATGAAGTATATCCATGCTGACATCAGTTTTTCAATATCATTCTGTGCTTGTATTCCTGTTTCCTGGGGTGGGGAGCACATGGGATTCCCTATGGGACATATTTATAAAATGCAGCTCCAGAGCTTTCCCCCTTCTAACACTTTCTTCTTAAATGTCAGTCTTTGCTGACTTGAACTGACATAATGCTGTCAGATAATTGTGACTATGGATGAAAGCATATGCCTTGCATTACTATGGCATTGGGTTCCAATCTTGCTATATGTCCCTCTCCCAGCTTAAGCATACATATCCTTCTCTTGCTTTGATAAAGTACAAACGAATGGAAGCTGAGTCAGAACCATCTTTCAAATGGAAAACGCCTCATTAGGAAGAAGCCGACCAGCTCCGTGGAGCTGCAGAGCAAGGCCTACCAGAGTGCCTTTGATAGCAGCAGATCTGCACCTGCTCCCAGCTGGCAACATCTGGTATCGGATGAATCCAGTACAGCAGCCGCAAAAGAAGGAGATTACATAGGAACATGGATGAAAGTGGACCATATGCTCAGGAATGAAAAAGAGATTAGCTTTTTTACATGGGCGAGAAACAGCGCTCAGTTGTGGATGTGCTGAGAGAAGCTGATTGGGAAAAGGAAGGGCTTTAGCTCAAACAGAAAATGCCTCACTTGCATCAAGTGCATTAAAGAAAGTTCTAGTTTTCATTCCTAGTATCCCTTCTTCCATTTTCAGGAAAGAGGGCTGGAGGAGTCCTTTCTGTGAGTCCCAAGATCATCCAGGCACCCTCTAGATGCAATGAGGATAATTTTCTCTGGGTCATATCTTGAGTTTTCATGGGTCCTCCCTGTACTTTTTCAAATTCTAGTTCACATTTGGTCTGTAACAGCTTTCAGCCCAGTAGAACTGACAATCTTTCACAATTATTTACATTTTTCTCTTTCACCAAGAGCACAGTTCTGCAACTGGAAGAGGATAGCTCAAGCAAGTGGGTTAGATACACTAAACCAAATACTAGAAAAATGCTAGAGTGCACATTGCTTGTGTGAATTTTGTGGCCCATGTGGCCTCAAGTCA